CTGCCGACGGGGAGGAAGGCAGAGGGAGGGGTGGGGGCAGAGAGGGCGGAGAGACTGGGGAGGTTGGAGAGAAAGAAGGAGGAGGGCGGAGGAGGGAGGGGAAGGTGGAGGTGACGATGGGGAAGAGGCAGGAGAAGGGAGAGAGGGAAGAGAGGACGGGCTGGAACCTCCACACAATGATTCGGGGATCTCGGCAACAGATGCATCCCGCTCTCCCCGTCCTCCCGTTGTGTAGTCTTGGCTTCCCGCGCTCACCACCCCCTCTCCGCCCTGAACTTACCCGACAGCGCGATGTCCCCGAACTAGGCATTACGTATTTGAGGATCGTGTCTCGGAATGCGGTCTCGATACCGATCCAGAAGATCACCCGTGAAGTGTTCCGTGCCGCACCGTGTCCAGCCTTCGCTCCTCATCCGCGCTCCCCGTCTGACAGCCGTGGCGTGGCGTTGTGCCCGACTGGATGAGCCGCGCGGCCACCAACGAACCCTTCGACGAGGTCACACGCGAGCTGTCCAGAACGAGGGCGTTGGACGTAGGAAGTAGGATGGAGGCGGCGGCCAACACTCGCCGCCCGCCCTGCCCGCTGGATAGAAGTGCCGCTCGCTACCAAGACAAATGTCTGGCGAGTTCGGACCCAGACCAAGCTGGCTGGGTGGTGCGGGGTGCAGGCATACGGTTTGGCGGAGGCCATCTTCGCGGTCATCGGCGGCTTTACCTTGGACACCTCCTGGGTGCACAGCGAACCCATGTTCACAACAAAGGCCAACTGAAGCCGCGCGCTTCAAGTGAGTGATCTCGCAAACGGCGCGACGTCGACCTTTACTGGACAAACGATAGTCGCACGGACGGGCTGTCCACGTGATTTTCCTTAAGAGTCCGCCACCCTGCATCTGGGCACGAAGTGGGCGTGTCCTCAGGTCCTTTGCTCGATCCCCTGAGCCTCAATCCTCACTTCCGGGGAATCTCTCAGGCCCCCAAGAGGCCCCAAGAAGCCCCAAGCCTGCCCCCGAGAGGCAACAAGAGGCTTCAAACTGCCTCCCAGAGTTCCCCGAAAGGTCCACCACGAGATCCCAACCAACATCCATGAGGCCTCTGACCCACCACCCAGGCACGGTGGCGGCATAAGCCGAAGGCCATTAGATCCGCCGCCCCCTTTTGCTTTAGCAAAGGGGTGCCTGGCGTGCTGGACCCTCTCGGTTTTGGTTTTGGTTTTTTTCCAAAAGAACTCCCCCTGGGGCTCCGGCACGTCCCGCCAGGGTCCCGGGAGGATTGCCACGGACCTCAATTCCCTACTTTCCTGCCCAAGACGGCTCCAAGATGGCCTCCAAGATGCCTCCAAGACGGCCAAGATGGCCTCCAAGTCCGTCTGTCAATGCCCAAAAACGGCCGTTTCGCTCGGGACATCCTCAAAAAATCGCGAAGATGGCCCAAGATGGCCTCCAAGTCCGCCCGAGATGGTCCAAGACGGCCTCCAAAACGGCCCAAGAGAGTCCAAGACGGCCCGGCCCAGAGTCCAAGACGGCCCAAGACGGCCCAAGACCCCCCCAGAGGCCTCCCAGACGGCCCAAGAGGCCTCCAAGAGGTCCTCCAGGAGAGTCCGAAGAGGCCAAAATCATTGATTTTCCCTTGGTTTTTGAAGGATTTTGGCATTTGCGCCTTTTCGGCTCTCCGACGGCTCAAGACGGCCCAAGAAGCCCCCAAGATCGCCCAAGAGGCCCCCAAGAGAGCCCCATGATGGCCCAAGTGGCCTCCAAGATGGCCCCTAGAGGGCCCCAAGAGGGCCCAAGAGGCCTCCAACACGCCCAAGATGGCCTCCCAGACGCCCAAGATGGCCTCCAAGACGGCCCTGGAGCATTCCAAGCGGGCCCCAAGTCGGCCCATAGAGGCCCCCCAAACGGCTTCCGACGGCTTCAGACGTGCCAGGAACCCACCAAGATGGCCGAAGTTGGCTCGAAGCTGGCCCGAGACGGCCCAAAAAGCCCCAAAGATCGCCCAAAGCTTGCCCAAGAGGCCTCCAAGACGGCCAAGATGACCTTCAAGATGCCCACGTGTTCCCCGAAGGCTTTCCAAACCGATTCGGGGAACACATGGTCCGATGGCTTGGCAGGTCTGGCCTCAACGTTCGGCCACATAGGCGCTTCCAAAAAGGCAGGGGGCGGCGGTGATTCGCCGTAGGCGTCTTCGAACCGCCGCCCCCTTTTGCTTTAGCAAAGGGGTGCCTGGCGTGCTGGACCCTCTCGGTTTTGGTTTTGGTTTTTTTCCAAAAGAACTCCCCCTGGGGCTCCGGCACGTCCCGCCAGGGTCCCGGGAGGATTGCCACGGACCTCAATTCCCTACTTTCCTGCCCAAGACGGCTCCAAGATGGCCTCCAAGATGCCTCCAAGACGGCCAAGATGGCCTCCAAGTCCGCCCAAGATGGTCCAAGACGGCCCTCCAAGACGGCCTCCAAGACGGCCCAAGACAGTCCAAGACGGCCCAAGAGGCCCCCCAGAGGCCTCCCAGACGGCCCAAGAGGCCTCCAAGAGGTCCTCCAGGAGGGCCCGAAGAGGCCAAAATCGTTGATTTTCCTTAGGTTTTTGAAGGATTTTGGAATTTGCTTCTTCTCGGCATTCCGACGGCTCAAGACGGCCCAAGAGTCGCCCAAGAGGCCCCCAAGAGGGCCCCATGACGGCCCAAGTGGCCTCCAAGATGGCCCCAAGAGGGCCCCAAGAGGGCCCAAGAGGCCTCCAACACACCCAAGATGGCCTCCAAGACGCCCAAGATGGCCTCCAAGACAGCCCCGAAGCGTCCCAAGAGGGCCCCCCGTTGGCACGGAAAGGCCCCCAAGACGGCTCCCGACGGCGTCAGACGTGACAGGAACCCACCAAAATGGCCGAAGTTGGCTCGAAGCTGGCCCAAGACGGCCTAAGAGGCCCCTAAGAGGGCCTCCAGGAAGGCCAGAAGAGGCCAAAAACATTGATTTTCCTAAGGTTTTTTTTTTTTACGGATTTTGACATTTCCTTCTTTTCGGCCTTCCGACGGCCCGAGACGGCCCAAGAGTCCCCAAAGATCGCCGAAAGATCGCCCAAGAGGCCTCCAAGACGGCCAAGATGACCTTCAAGATGCCCACGTGTTCCCCGAAGGCTTTCCAAACCGATTCGGGGAACACATGGTCCGATGGCTTGGCAGGTCTGGCCTCAACGTTCGGCCACATAGGCGCTTCCAAAAGGCAGGGGGCGGCGGTGATTCGCCGTAGGCGTCTTCGATCCGCCGCCCCCTTTTGATTTATCAAAGGGGTGCCTGGCGTGCCGAACGATACCGCTTTTGGTTTTGGTTCTTTTTCCAAAAGAACTCCCCCTGGGGCTTCGTCACGTCCCGCCGGCCACCCGGAAAACCCACCTGTCGTCGCCTTTCGTGCCCCAAGATGGCCCAAGATGGCCTCCAAGACGGCCAAGATGTCCCAGGATGGCCTCCAAGTTGCTCCAAGACGGCCTCAAAGACGGCTAAGATGGCCCCAAGATGTACCCAAGACTGCCCTAGATCCCTAGATGGCCTCAAGATAATCTAAGACGGCCCAAAAAGCCCGCAAGAGTCCTCCAAAAACGGCCCACGAGGCCTCCAAGACGTCATCCAGGAGGGCCCGAAGAGGTCAAAATCATTGATGTTCCATTGGTTTTTGAAGGATCTTGGTATGTGCTCCTTTTCGGCCTTCCGACGGCCCAAGAAGGCCCAAGAGGCCATCAAGATCGCCTCAAGAGCGCCCAAGAGGCCTCCAAGATGGCCCCAGGACGGCCCAAGAGACCTCCAAGACGGCCTCAACAGGGGCCAAGCACGGCCCAAGAGGCCTGCAAGATGCCCAAGATGGCCTCCATGACGCCCAAGATGGCCTCCAAGACGGCCCTGGAGCATTCCAAGAGGGCCCCAAGTCGGTCCAGAGGGGCCCCCCAAACGGTTTCCGACGGCCGAAGATGGCCCTAAGATGGCCCAGGACGGCCCAAGAGGTTCCCAAGAGGGCCTCCAGGAAGGGCCGAAAACGCCCAAATCAGTGATTTCTCATTAGTTTTTGAAGGACTGTGGCATTTGCTTTTTTTCGGCCTGGAGACGGCCCGATACGCCCAAGTGCCCCCAAAGATCGCCCAAGAGGCCCTCAAGACGGCCCCCAGAGGCCCCCAAGACGGCCCAAGAGGCCTCCACTCTCAAGATGGCCTCCAAGACGGCCCAAGAGCCCCCCAAGACGTCCTCCACGAAGGCCCGAAAGGGTCAAATTGGCTTCCACACGGCCGGGATGACATCCAAGATGCCCACGTGTTTCCCGAAGGTTTTCCAAACCGATTCGGAGAACACATGGTCCGATAGCTTGGCAGGTCTGGCCTCAACGTTCGGCCACATAGGCGCTTCCAAAAAAGCAGGGGGCGGCGGTGATTCGCCGTAGGCGTCTTCGATCCGCCGCCCCCTTTTGATTTATCAAAGGGGTGCCTGGCGTGCCGAATGATATGGTGTTTGGTTTTGGTTCTTCTTCCAAAAGAACTCCCCTTGGGGCTTCGGCCTGTCCCGCCGGCCACCCGGAAAGGCGCTCAATCCGGAAAAAATCCTCCAAGATGGCTCACGATGGCCTCCAAGATGGCCACGCTGGCCCAAGATTGCCTCCAAGATGGTCCAAGATGGCCTCCAAGTCCGCCAAAGAGATAAGGAGATGCCTCCAAGTCCGCCGAAGAAACCTCCAAGACGGCCCAAGAGGTGCCCAAGAGGCCTCCAAGACGGCCCAAGAGGCCTCCGAGAGGTCCTCCAGGAGGGCCCTTACCACCCCCTGGATTAAAAAGTTGAGATCGGAGCTACACCGAAAGAACCGCATCCTGGTATTCGTCCGTCGTTCGGCTTTCGAGCCGCGACTTTCGATCGGGACTGGACCCTGGGAAGTCGATGGTCGCTGTTCGACCGGACCTCTATCCTCGACCCTCGAAGTATCTGGGGCCCTCGATCCTCGATCCTCGAGCCTCGATCGAACCTCGATCATGGATGTT